CAGAAGCTTCGCCAATTTTGTTTCTCCTCGTTCCTTCAGGGCCGGGAGATTCGGCCGGGCAGCAGTCAGTCCCACGGCGCGCCGCCATGTCGGAGGGTGCCTCGGGGCTGGCCAGGCGGGCGTACTGGCTGTGTGCTAAGCGTGGCTGCGACGCTTGGAACTGGTGTGACAAGCGGTGGACGTGCAAGGTGTGCGGCACCAGTGCTCCCCCCTGGACGAAGGAGTACCGCCCCGACAGGGGCCCCCCGAGAGTGGACGCTGACGGGTTCGTTCAGCAACCCAGGGGAAGGGCTGAACAGCGGGCAGCGAGGCGCTCAGCCTCCCAGCGGGCCCTCTCGGGGAGCACCGCGCCCAGCAGCACCCCCAACAGCAGGGCAAGGCGGGTGCGGCCTCGGGGAGAGGCCAAGGCCCAGTGCGTGGAGCTGCAGGCGCAGCTCGTGGCGGCCAAGGAGCGCGTCGACAAGCTCCAGGAGGCCCTGGCGCTCGGGCTCTCGGCGGACTTCCAGCGGGAAGTGGAGGGCGCCCTCCAGCTGGGCAAGGACCAGGTCGCCGCCTGTGAGCTGGCCGTCCTGGAAGCCCAGAGGACGGACCGCCCTCCTCACTCGGTGCTCCACATCGAGGCCAACGCCATTCAGAAGGTCGAGCGCCAGCTGGCCGCGGCACGCACCAAGAAGGAGAAGCTCCAGCTGCAGGCGTCCGAGCTGCGCGAACTCATCGCGGAGAAGCAGGAGCTGCTGTCGGCAGCCGAGTTGGGAGTGGATGAGGTCGCGGGGCAGATTGCCGAGCTGGAGGATACCAGAGCCAAGGTCACGCAGCAAGCGATCCAGCGGGCCAACGCGGCCGTCGGATGGGGTTCCGTGCCCGCTTGGGGACGCAGTCCAAGGGCTGCTCACTCAGGTCGGCGCCCTTTCGGACCTCCTCAAGCAGCATGGGTCGGAGCTGCCCCCTAGGCTTTCCGAGATCGTCGGGATTCTCAACACGCAGAAGGAGGCGGTCGCCGAGGTGCTCAGGCCCCGCAGCAGCTCGGCCAGGACGCGTTGGGGCGACAGCGTCGGGGACGATGGCCTCGCGTCCGAGGATGACGACATGCCGCTTGACATCGTGGCCTCTGGGGGGCCCGCGGCCGCCCCGCCCGCTGCAGCCCCGCAGACAGGGCCTACTGCGGCTGGGCCGCCAGCCCCGCGGGCCAGGTCAGCGGACGGGCCCTGCGGCCCTGCAGCGGCCCGCGGCCAGCACGGGGCGACCCTGGGCACGTGGCCTCTGGTGGAGCCGTGCCTCGCCAAGGCCCTCGCTGAGCAAGGGGCGGCCCTCGCGGACAGCGACCCCTTGGTGGCTGCGGCTGCTGCGGTTGCTCCTGCTGCTGGATACGGGCCGCGCCGCGTGTGATGCGAGAGCGTCGGAGTGGTCAGCTTCCACCGCCGACCTCGACGTCGGGGACAGCGGAGCGCCCTTCCCTCGGGACGTGCGAGGGCCTAGCTGCTGGGACAGGTGGAGGAGGCGCTGTGACGGCCGCTGGCGCGCCCGCGGCCCTCGCAGGCGGCGGGCGGCGCCGAGCGCCCTTGCCCGAGGTAGCCAACTGGCGCGGTCGGGAACACCGAGGTGGCCCCCCGACGGCCAGTCAGGGGCCGAGAGCGGTGGGATTCAGCCCCACGACGTCGCAGCTCTCGGCCCCGATGGTGACGGGCAGGGGCACCCCCCGCTGGCAACCGGAGGGGTCGAGGGACGGCCACCTCCTCAGCGGCGGCCACCTCCCGTGCTGGCCAGCGGCCCGCAGACGCCGATGAGGAGCGCTGGAGCGTGGGGCCAGGTCCCCCCTCCAGTCCTGGTGGGGGCGGAGGGTCCCGCGACCAGGGGCGCGGCGTGCCCTGTGCCGGGCGCTGGCCAACGCGCAGTCCGCGTGGCAGCCGTCATCTGCAAGGCGCCGATGGTTGACGGGGCAGGAAGCCAGCAGCTTCGGGCTGGCCTCGTTTTGCTCGGCTGCAACTGCCACGCGTGGAGCAGGGGTTTTGAGGCCATTGAGGCCTTCTTCCAGACGTGCAACTACTGGCCCGACGTGGTGGCGCTGCTGGAGACGAGGCTCCCGCATGAGAGCCTGCCCAGTGCGGCGGCTCAGGGCCGCGGCCTGGGAGGCGTGGCCTTCCTCCCCGAGGCAGTGCTGTCGGACAAGCAGGGGCCCCAGGCGACCTCAGGCGGGGCGGCGATCCTGGTGCGAGACGGCTTGCAGGCCGACGAGTCGGCGTCCTCGCTGCCCTCGGCCCTGCGGTACCGCCTCGGCTGTGTGGAGGCGACGGGCTTCTATGCCTACATCCCGTGGGTCTTCAAAGCCGACTTTAATATGGAGGCTGAGTCCCTGGAGGAGTTGGGATGGCCGTGGCGTTGCGGGTACACGTCCTGGGGCCTTCGGAGGCGACGTGCCTTGGTGAGGGCTGCGTCCACCTCTACGACTGGCTCGAGGCTTCTGCCCAATGCCCATCTCTGGGAGGGGATCTACGCTTCGCTGGACGTGCACACGCTCAAGGTGACCATTGTTGCAGCTCACGGCATCGCCAGGGACGTGCTGGAAGGCAAGGTCATGGAAGCCTACCTCTGCGGCAACGGTCATGCCGTACGCTGGGCCAAGGCAGGTGCGGAGCTGCACCGCGCCTGCGCTGTGGCCAGGCGCGGGTCCCTCGGCACGATGGAGCTGGTGAGGGAGCTCTCATGCTGGGTGGCCCAAGCCACCCTCATCTGGCAGGGGCTCGCCTTCGCCACGTGCGGAGACGGCGCAGCCGAGCAGGAGCTGATGGCGTGCACCCACTGCGGGGCGACCGCGGGGCTTGGCGGGCGCACAGGCGCTGCGCCCATGCTCAAGGAGCGATGCCCTGGCTCTGCGGTGGCTCGGCCCGAGCCAGCGCAGCCGAGGCGCAGCGTCGCGCCCAGGCTTGAGCTGCAGGTCGCTGGATGGGCGCGCTACTGGACCCAGGCTCCCGAGGTCGGCGAGACGATGGAATGCTTCAGCGAGTGGATGGACCACTGCGTCGGCTACGTCACGCAGATCCTGTCCCAGCCGCGCTTCGCCACCAGGCTGCGGGCGCGTGGGAGGACGGCCGAGGAGTTGGCCGAGGAGATCTGCGAGCGGGCCTGGGGGACTGGCATGCCTGCGAGGCGGGCCTACTACCGGTGGCGCCACACGCTGACGCAGTCGCAGAGGATCGTGTCGGACTGCATGCGGCGCTACGACTACGTGTGCCTGCGGACGTGGCTGGCCGAGCTGCAGTGGGAAGGGCAGCCTCCGCCCATTGGCCCGCTCAGAGCGCTCAGGGCGCCGTCGGTGCCGTGGCATGCGGGCCGCAGGAGGCGCCGAAGAAGTGGTGAACGGTCAGCCGTGGCTGAGACGGCGCGCGAGGACTGGCGCATGAGACGCCGCCGCGCTGCTGGTGACGAGGGGTAGTGATGCTGCATCTTCCTTTCTGTTGTATCCGCCCCTCGTCCTCCTTCCGTTCTGTGCGTGAGGCAGCTCTTCTGCCCATGATGCACTTGCAGCTTTGGGGGCTTGTTGGGCGTGCGTGCGCGCCCCTGCCCCTGCTGCCTCCTTGATTTCTTTGAAATCGTGCGCTATGCGCGTTTGGCGCTTCGCGCCCTTCCCTTCTGGGGCTCCTTTGGGGCCCCAGGGCTGGCCCTTGAGGCCCTGGGGCCAATGGGCTCCGCGGGCCTCGGGCTTCCTTTAGCCTTCACAGGCCCCGCAGCCACAGCTCACACAAGAGCACGGCAGGCCACACAGGAGCACGGCAGACCACACAGGAGCACGGCAGACCACAAAGGAACACGGCAGACCACACAGGAGCACGGCAGACGCCACAGGAGCACGGCGGAACCCACAGGAGCACGGCAGACCACAGAAAGAGCACGGCAGACCAACAGGAGCACGGCAGACCACACAAGAGCACGGCAGGCCACACAGGAACACGGCAGAACACACAGGAGCACGGCAAAGCATTCAGGATCAGTGCAGGTCGCAGGGGCGCCGCGTATCACAGGAGCACACCAGACCAACACGGCCAATCAGCACGGCAACGCCAGGAGTATAGCAGAGCACAGGAGCGCGTCATTTTTTTTCCAGTGCGCAATGCCGTGGGTGCTCTTGATAGCCCTCGACGATTAAGGTCGCTCTCTCACGTGCTCTATGTTGTTGGCATATGTTGTATTGGGCTCAATGTGGTTGCAAAGCTGCGGCAGGGTGTGCGCGGTGGAGGTGCTTCTATTAGCCCTGTCAGATCCAACTTTCTAGTAGGTGATCCTCGGGGCGATTCTTACCGATGTTTATTTTCGGCATGCTCCGACTGGCGTTCTATATGATGTTCTGTGGGTCTCTTGTTTGTCGAGCGCGTGCTGCTAAGACGATCAAGTATTGCAAAGGGTATCACAAGACCCGCCGTGGTGAGGAGCCCCCGAAGGCTCAGTCCGGTTATGACGGTTACTGCAAGTCTTGCTACAAGGAGAAGCATCCTACTCTGTACCGCCAGAAGCAGGAGAAGAGAAAGGGATGTTGTCGATTCTGCGGTGCGCAGACGGAGCTCAGCGGTGGCATGTGCAAGCCGTGTTATCGGTCTCGCAGCTGCCCTGAGTGTACCTGGTGCAACGAGGAAGACGAACCAACGCTGTGCGTGGCCTGCGAGTCACGCGAGAAGAACCCGCAGGCCGCGGGAAAAAGATGTGCTATGGCGTGTCCGACGCACACTTCGCCTGAGGAACGCAATCTCAAGCTGTGCTCCGAGTGCTTTACATCTTCGACCCCTTGCTCGCACTGCGCTGCGCCGACTCCTGCTGGCTCCTTGACTCGGTCGAAGTGTAGCAACGAATCTTGCGACGCATCAGTGGTGTTCTGTAGCGCGTGTTCTGGCATGTCTAACGGGCAGTCGAAAGCGAAGTGCCAGTCGTGCTGGGCCCAGGACGGTCGGTTCTGCGTGCATTGCGGTCGGATGCGAGCGCGAAATGCAGTGATATATCGGCGAGCTTGCCAGGCCTGTTTCGCTGCGCGCTCGTGCGCCAGCTGCCACGCTGTGCCGCCGGCGTCCCTGGAGACCCCGCAGTGCGAGATGTGCGACAACCTCGCCCTGTGGTGTCCTGAGTGCACCACACCAGAGCAGCGGGCGGCGGGCCTGTGTAAAACACATTGGGATTCCCCCGAGTGCGCATTCTGTTACAGGACCGAGGACCCCGCCACCAAGGAACCGCTGCAGGTTTCCATGATCGAATGCGGAACAGAGAGCTGCTCCAAAGTCGTGAGGAGCTGCTCTGTGTGCTCGTCGCATTTCAAGAAGAGCGCGGCGCTGTGCGACGTGTGCTGGAAGGCAGCTGGCTCCAAGTGCATCGGATGCGGTGTCAAACCAGCCCGGACCGCCAGGGTATATCAGCACTTTTGCAAGAAATGCTTCGGGGAGGAGAGGCTGGCAGACCTCGTCCGTGACGAGAGCAAAAAGTTCCTCGCCGACGAGCCGCGACCGCAGAGGCTCGACGACGACGTCGCCCGATCCGCACCCGCTTTGCAGGTACTCCTCGCTCTGGCAAAGCCCGAGCCCGGGTCCTTGCCGAAGTACGCGGAGACGCCCGAGTACCTGGGCCCGAACCATTGCCGCTTCTGCAAGCAACCGTGGGGTGACTCCGACGACGACGACAAGCGACGGCACCTGCTCGAGGAGTGCAGGCATGATCTCCATCAACGAGACGGCGAAGACATTCTCCAGACGCACCGGAGGACAGTGCTCGAACGGGCGCGCGCAGAGGGCCTGGACGCGGTCAGTCCGCAGGTGGGCAGGTTCTGTGTGGCGCAGTACAAGAATGCGCAGACGGACGAACGATACGTCCATGATGCCTGTGCCGTCTGCTGTCGAAAGACGCCCAAGTGCGACTTGAATCGAGTTCACATCCCATCGTCGAGCAGCGACAAGTGCCCGGAGTGGTTATCGTGGTCCGAAGAGTTCTGGAATGAAAACAAGGAGACGTGGTACGAGCAGGTCGACAAGCTCCTCAGCATTGAACAGTACTTGAAAAAGTTCTTCAAGGTGTCTGAGCGAGCCCAGGAAGCGCGAGAGAGCGTGGAGGCGTGCAGCCGCGGGGAGCCGCACGAGCTCGGGTTCACGAAGGTGGAGGACGCAAAGAACTGGGTCGACCGCGTGCGCCTTTGGGAAGACAATCTGAGGAGAGACATGCGGGAGCACTCCGTTGTCTCTCCAGGTGGCGCTCTGTCTCGTTGTCCCAGCTTCTGTTGTCGTGGTGCTCCTGTGGTCTGCCGTGCTCCCCGTGCTCCGGTGCTCCTGCTCCTGCTCCTGTGGTCTGACGTGCTCTTATGCCCACTCGTGCTGTGTTGCTGTGCCGTGATCATGTCTGCTGCCGTGGATTGCGTGCTATAGTCGTCTGCCGTGCTCCTGCTGTCTGGCGTGCTCGGCCCCCGTGCCCACGTCAGCCGGGAAAGTTGTCATGTTGTCTTGTGCGCACCCCAGGTGATCCGAATCATCGGTGGGTATTGTACAAGTCCGCAGTACGCACGGATGCGCCCGAGGGCAGCGGCGGAGATCTTCGCGTGAGCATGTGCAAGGAGTGCGCCGAAGCATTGTCGAACACGCACACAGACAGCCGCGGGCGGTGCCGCCCGCGGCTGCGCATGCCCAGCGAGGCTCTCGCGAATGGCATGTGGCGTGGTCCTGACCCGGAAGAGCTCACGAACTTAACGTACACCGAGTGCAAGGTGATCAACCTGGCGAGGGTGTACGTCAGCGTGAAGCGCGTGTTGTTGGACAGGGCGTCTTTCGCCAGGACGAGTGCCGACGAGGCGCCGCGCTATCACCAGAAGAACGTTGTTGCGTACCCGCAGAGCCCCGACGCGGCTCTGACTGCCATCGGACTGTCGCCGATGGCCCTGGCGCACACTCTGATCGTCCAGTTCGTGGGAAGCCGCGCTGACGGTATCTGGCATCATCCTGACTTGCAAGTTTCCGTGGCGCGACTTCGAGCAGCATTTCGTTGGTTGTGCTCCAACAGCTGGAACCACATGGAAGCCACGCGACACCATGCCGCATGTGCGGATTCTGGCTTACTCCACGAGTCGATCGAGGAGTTGCTGGACGCGTACGCGACGAGCGTTGGTGGATCCTCGGGCGTTCCGCGCGAGCTCGTCGACTCGGCGACGTCGATCAGCGGCTCAAGAGCTTCGGTGCAGTCTAAAGGACCAGCTGACTGCACGGAAGAAGGTGAACGCGACACGGAGGAGAACGGGCCCGAAGAGGCGGAGAACGCCGCCGTCGTTAACGGCGGTTTAGCAGACGTCGACTCCCTGCAGCTGTGGACACAGGTCATCAAAAACTTTAAGGCGGCACAGCGGTTTAAAGAGGAATTGGCCGCTCTAGACCCCGCCGACTTATCTGCTCGCGCCGAGAAGAAGAGAATGCACGGTGTGAGCATGGCCCAGGCCATCGAAGACCTGGAGAAGCTGTCGAATGAGAAGATGCGAAAACGTTTGGAAGAGTGGGCGCGGTCGGAGACTGACGACAGAGCGCCCTTGAAGATCACGCACGAGACCACGTTCTTGTCTGCTCGCACGCCGAACTTTTGGGCGTCCTGCTTCGTTCGGCTGTTTCCTCGGGGAGACTGTCAGGAAACATGCCCAGAACGTAAAGCGGCGGATAGTACCGTATCGTTCTTGTCTTCCAATAAGTGGATCCAGTGCTTACTTAAACGAGCAGATTGCGATTACTGGCGGAAGGACCTGGAGTTCGTCGCATCCGTGGTCAACATCTTTATGCGTCGAGATCAGATGAGCAAGGTGGAAGCGTGCATGAGGGAGACGCCCGGCGGCGGCTTCATGGGCATAACTCCCGGTGAGATGCAAAGGATGAACGAGATCACAGCGGAAGGTTTGGTTGCCGCCGCGATCGCGATGGGAGGTGATGCGAAGGGCATGAGCGATCTTCTGAGGCATGAAAAGTTGACCCAACCAGTCCGCACAGCCGCTGAAAAAATGCAGGCCGCGTCCCGGAAAGTGCGTGGATCTGCCGAAGAGCGGGACTCGTACAGGTGGAATTTCCGAGCTCTTCAGATAAACTCGGGCTGCTCGACTTTGTTCTTTACGCTGAATCCCCACGACATTCGCAGTCCGCTGACGGTGCTACTGGTGCAGGACGGCACGGAGATGCAGAGGCGATTCTCCCTGAACATGAGCGACAAGGAGGCGGAGGACTGGATGAAAGAATTTCAAGCAGAGCACCCTCGTCTTCTCCACCGTCGCGTGGCGCAAGACCCTTACTATGCCCAACGTGTTTTCCACTCGACCGTCAAAGACGTGATGCGCTATATATTCAACTGCGCTGATGGACCCTCGAACCTGCCTCCGGATGGCATCGCGGCGAGCGAGGTGCCCGGTGTATTCGGGTACGTGCGCTCCTATCTCGGAGTTGTTGAGGAACAGATGCGGAAGGCGCTGCACATACACATGCTCGCGCAGATTCTTGGCTTCTCGCATCCCGACGATATCTTCAAGAAGAACTCTTTCCTCGACGAATTTAAGCGTCTCTACTACTATCACGCCTCAGTCATGTTCCGCAGCCAGGAAGCCGTAGCGCATCATTTCGCCGTTCCTGTGGCGATGAGAACCACCGCCGGGCTGCCGTTGTTCCCGGTGACTCTGAAGCAGCGGAGCATGATCGGCAGCGCTCGCGTTGAGGAGAGCAACCTCGCGCAGACCGTGGCGCGCGGACTCGACGTGCCGCCTGCTCTATCCAGGAGCGTGCCTGAGTATCCCTTCTTCGTGGGTTCGTATCACGGCGACGAGAACGTGTCCGGTAGCGACTGGGGCAGCCGCGCTGTTGTTGAGATTTTTTCAAGGAGTCGCAAGACGGGCAACCACGTGTGCAAGCCGTCCGTCTGTCACAAGGGGCGTCTCGGAAAGCGTGGTTTTTGCCGCATGTTCTATTGGCATCTCGTGAAGGTGGAGGACCCGAAGACGGGGCGCCTCGTCGCCAAACGACAGCATGGCTTGCAGCTGCATCCTCGATGGGATGGCGTTGGGCCTCCGCCGATTCTAGGGTATCCACACGTTGGGTTGCCGGCTCTGGAGACGACGCACCAGTGGCACTTCAAGCTTTCCTGCCCGATCATGCTCGGCCCGCAGTGCAATCACGACATCCAAGTGCTCCCGCGGTTGCGCGCTCTGAAGAGCAGCAGCCCAGACGCCGTGCCCGATGAGGCAGAGGTTGCCACCGCCAGAGCGGGAATGATAGAGCAGCAGGCGGCGAATGAGTTTTACTGTTCGTCATACTCTAGCAAGTCCGCGCCGCACGCGGAGGGACTCGTGCTGACTCTTGCAGTCTCGCTCCATCAGAAAGAGCCAGACGCGAAGGAGGCTGCTGGCCGCGGCGACGAGCCTGAGAACGTGCACGAGAAGGCGAAGCGGATTCTCCACAGGCTGTTGTCGGCGACGAACAACAGGATGCACAAAGGGTTTCCAGAGATGCTCAGTTACCTGCTTGAGGAGCCGACCCTGTACTCTAGCCACGAGTTCGTTACCGTCTTGACGCCAGGCCTCAGCATGCTGATCTCGAAAAGGTTGAGCGAGGTCGCAACCGGTGCAGAGACGAGTGGACCCTCCACTGCCGCGCGTCCGTACTCTACGAAACTCTACCGAAGGCCGTTCCTGACGGAGTACGATTACCTCTACCGCCCCGACGAGCTGGAGGATTTCCCATTGTACTTTTTCTTCGCGGCTTGCGAAGCTCGGCAAGCTCGCCCTGACGGACATCGCCCCGTGAACACTCTGGCGTGGCACGTCGCGGCCGACGGTAAGCGTCAGTTCTCTGCAGAAAAGCTATACAGCCGGGAGCACGAAAAAGTGCCTCTGCGCGGAGATCCTTCGGAGCATCACCCCCTCGGGCCTGAGCTATACAAGTACGCGTACTACGTGACCGTCCGCTTGAGCATCGCGTGGCGGATACCTGTTCTTCGCGGATTTCTCCCTCCGTGCCCGGAGGCAAAGAAAGACGGAGATGACGAAGCTAAGAGATTAGAAGACGAGGTTAAGTACGCGGTGTACGTGCAACTGCTCTTTCGACCTTTCCGAACAGTGGAGGACGTGCTGCGTCGCGCCCCGCCCGCGCCGTGGACGCACAACCTGCGGAGTACTACGGCGCATTTTTGAATGAGTTCGAGGATTGGCGCAGCACTCAGGAGTCCATCGCTTCTCGAGCACGTAGTGATACGCCACCTCTCAGCAAGGAATGGTGGGCTTGTCGCGTGTGTGAATGCCTGGGGAATTACGACCTCGTCGCAAAGCGCCACGTATCGGTTGTTGATCGTGTGCCGACAGGGGACGCTCTCCGTGGTTATCCCGACGCTGCTGCCGATATCGATGGCCCCGATCCGAACAGGGCCGACGACGAGGAGATGTTGATGGAGTCCGATTCGGACGAGAGTCGCGGCGATGCTGCGATGGAGGACGATGCCCCCAGTGATGCGGCAGTTCCTCGCGCGTCGGGTCGCGAAGCAGATCCAGTCAGCCAGCTTTGCGGAACCGTGGAGATTGACTTGAACGAACTGGTCAACTCGGATACTCTAGCGAAAAGCAGATCCAACGAGGCAAAATATCTCCGTGGCTTTATCGAAGAGGAAAAGAACTGCGTTTCGGGGTGCACAGCTGCCGCTGACGGCGACGGTGCGTTCCAAGAGTGCTCGTTGTCAGCACGAAAGTCGCTCATCGTCTCTGACATGCAGCAGAAATTTTTCAAGATCGTCAACGAGGGCGAGGATAATGTCGAGATGGTCAGGAAAGTCGAGAAGACGAAGTCAGATGTGCTACAGCAACGCATCGACGCGGCGATGGCGAGTATCCCCGTAGCACTTGAGCGCAAGGTGCCCTTGTTGGCCCGTAAGTCATCGACGTCTGTTGTAGAGGCTGCGCTGTTCTTGTTGAGCCAAAAAGTTCTCGACATCCCTGATGTGGGCGGTATCAACGTGAAGCAGGCGCGGGCGCTTCTGTGGAATGCGTTGTGGCTGCAAGACGCGATGAATCGGGAATGGTCCCTGGACGACCCGTCCGGATCGCAGTGCTCTTCGAGCTCCTCTTTGGCGGACGGCTTTCAGCTCGCGCTCATGGGCCCTGGCGGCACCGGTAAAACTGCGGTGCTCCGCGTTACGGAGGCATTGGTCTCTTATTTTTTGGGAGCCGAATCCGTGCGAAAGTGTGCTCCATCCAACTCGGCGGCCCGGCTCATCGGCGGCGACACCATACACGCTGTGTGTAAGCTCCCGTTCGGGAACATTTCTGTCAGGGACCGGAAAGCCCGTTTGAGCGTTGCTGCGCTGGAGAAGCACAGACAACGCTGGAAGAAAGCTCGCGCGTGCTTCATTGACGAAGTCTCTATGGTCTCCAGTGACCAGCTCCATGCCTCCGAGGTCCGCATCAGGGAAGCGAAGGATGACAGGAAACCCTTCGGGGGCCTCGGTATGATTCTTTCTGGGGACTTTTTGCAGTTGCCCCCCGTGGATCCAGGAGACGCGCAGAAGAGTTTAGCGACTCCTCTGAAGGAGACTGGCGCCCTGGACGCGGCCCCTGAGAACCCCGACGCAAAGGATCAGGACGTGAAGCGAAAGAAGCTCGCCGATGCCGCTCAGGGGGTTCAGTTGTGGCAACGGGTACGGCATGTCGTGCGCCTTGACGTGAACATTCGCGCCCCGGGTAAGCTCAGCAAGTTACTCGCGGAGATGCGAGACGGCAATGGTATCTCTTCCGAGTGTTGGCAGATGTACCTGGATCGCATCATGGAGCGGAACGACCAGAGACTTTCCGAGGGGAGTTCTCCTTTCAGTAAATACGACTGGCAGTTCATTGTTCATCGCCACAAGATCCGCGTGCATCGCTCGCTCGTGAACGCCAAGGCAGCTACGTCTTCTGGGCATAAGCCGCTATTCATCGTACAGGCCAGGGATGAGGCGGTGCATTCGAAAGATGATCGCAAAATGCCACACGTCAGGGAAGAGCTTTTGCGCAGAGCGTCGCCCCGAGACACTCAAAGCTTGCCAGGCGTACTTCCACTGTACGTCGGGATGCGGTTGACGTTCCAGGAGAAGGACGGGGTGTTCTGGAAATGATCCCTGTCCGTGCTCCTTCCTTCTCCTTCTCTCCACCGGCCTCGTCTTTTTCCGCTCCTTGCACCCTCGTACGGGGGAGGCAGCAGGGGCACGGCAGACCGCAGGAGCACGGCAGTCCACAGGAGCATTATGCGGCAGCCGTCCTGCGGTGGCATGCTGTGTTTCTGTGGTTTGTCATGTTTGTCTTCCGAAGGGGTTAGCAACACGTCGAGAAGTTATCCCGAAGGGGCAAACCAGCAACACGTCAAGAAGGTGCTGAGGGGGGCAAACCAGCAACACGTCAAGAAGTTATCCTGGGGGGCAAACCAGCAACACGTCAAGAAGTTATCCTGGGGGGGCAAACCAGCAACACGTCAAGAAGTTATCCTGAGGGGGCAAACCAGCAACACGTCCAAAAGATGCTGAGGGGGGCAAACCAGCAACACGTCAAGAAGTTATCCTGACGGGGCAAACCAGCAACACGTCAAAGGTTATCCTGAGGGGGGCAAACGAGCAACACGCCAAGAAGGTGCTGAGGTGGTCGACCACCAACACTTCAATAAGTTACCCTGAGGCAAAACCAGCCACTCGCCAAGAAGTCATCCTGAGGGGGCAAACCAGCAACACGTCAAGAAGGTGCTGAGGGGACAAACCAGCAACACGTCAAGAAGGTATCCTGGGGGGGGCAAACCAGCAACACGTCAATGCGGTATCCCGAGGGGACCAAACCAGCAACACGTCGAGATGTGCTGAGGGGGCAAACCAGCAACACGTGAAGAAGTTATCCTGGGGGGTAAACCAGCAACACGTCAAGAAGTTATCCCGGGGGCAAACCAGCAACGCGTCAAGAGGTTACCCTGAGGGGGGGGGGGGGCAAACCAGCAACACGCCAAGAAGGGCTGAGGGGGCAAACCAGCAACAGATCCAGAAGTTATCCTAGGGGCAAACCAGCAACACGTCAAGAAGTTGGCCTGAAGGAGGCAAACCAGCAACACGTCAAGAATTTATCCTGAGGGGAGCAAACCAACAACACGTCAAGAAGGTGCGGAGGGGGCAAACCAGCAACACGTCGAGAAGTTATCCTGTGGGCAAACCAGCAACACGTCAAGAAGTTATCCTGAGGGGCAAACCAGCAACACGTCAAGAAAATGCTGAGGGGGCAAACCAGCAACACGTCAAACCACACAGAAGCACGGCAGACTATACAGGAGCACGGCAGGTACTTTCATGCACGTCTGTGGGTCAAAAGCCTTACTCACACCAAATGCACTAAGATTTCGGACAATGAGCAAAGTGCACTTGACAGCCCGCATCGCAATCGCGCTATCCGCTCACCAGGGCAACCAGCGCACGGCTTCAGTGTTGTTAAGGTAAGGTAACACAGGTACAAAGTGGTTGCGATTCTTTTTGCCCCCTGGGCTTATGAGATATTCCACGTTTTTAGTACGGCATACCACAGCGTTTTTAGAAGCCGTTTTTAGTACGGCATACCACAGCCATGGCAGTATCCCAAGACAGCGTTTTTAGAGCCAGGGTGGCAGACCACACAGGAGCACGGCAGACCCCGCATGAACACGGCAGACCACAAAGGAGCACGACAGACCACAGGAGCACGGCAGACCACACAGGAGCACGGCAGACCACACAGGAGCACGGCAGACCACACAGGAGCGCGGCAGACCACACAGGAGCACGGCAGACCGCACAGGACCACGGGAGCATTGCAGAGCACACAGAAGCACGGCAAACCTCACGGGATCCCCGCAGACTTCAAGGAACACGGAAGACCACACAGACGCACGGCAAGCCACACACGAGCACGGCAGATACCAAAGGAGCACAGCAGACACCAAAGGAGCACGGCAGACCCCAAAAGAACCGGCAGACCACCAGGGCACGGCAGACCACACTGGAGAACGGCAGACCCCACAGGAACACGGCAGACGCCTCAGGAGCACGGCAGGCCACACAGGAGCACGGCAGATCCCACATGATCACGGCAGACCACACAGGAGCACGGCAGACCACAAAAGAAGCATGGCAGACTTCACAGGAGAACGGCAGACCACACAGAAGCACGGCAGACCCCACATGAGCACGGCAGAGTTCAAAGGAGCACGGCAGACCACGCAGGAGCACGGCAGACCCCACAAGAGCACGGCAGAAAACAACAGGAGCACGGCAGACCACACAGGAGCACGGCAGACCGCACAGGAGCACGGCAGACTCCACAGGAGCAAAGCAGCCCACACAGGAGCCCAGTAGACCAAAAAGAAGCACGGATGACCCCAAAGGAGCACGGCAGACCCCAAAGGAACACGGCAAACCTCAAAGGAGCACGGCAGACCACGCAGGAGCACGGCAGACCCCACAGGAGCACGGCAGACTACAAAAGGAGCACGGCAGACCACACAGGAGCACGGCAGACCACACAGGAGCACGGCAGACTCCACAGAAGCAAAGCAGACCACACAGGAGCCCAGGAGCCCGGTAGACCATAAAGGAGCACGGAAGACCCCAAAGGAGCACGGCAGACCCCATAGGAACACGGCAGACCACAAGAGCACGGCAGACCACACAGGAGCACGGCAGATCACACAGGAGCACGGCAGACCACACAGGAGCACGGCAGACACACAGGAGCACAGCAGACCACAGGAGCACGGCAGACCACACAGGAGCACGGCAGACCCCACGGGAGCACGGCAGACCCCACAGGTGCACGGCAGACCACAGGAGCACGGCAGACACCACAGGAGTTGTCGTCTGCCGTGTTCATCTTGTCTTTTCAGTACCCGTGAGGACTGTCCGCGACTCGGAATTATGAAAGGATGCGTGTGCACAGTTCGGCATATAGTTTTCTCGGAGAGCGAGACATTTCCAAAGCCGAACGAGGACGATAATGTGGTCCACTTGCGCTGCATGCCAGTGTCGTTGTGGCTGCAGGCGGCGGATGTCTCGTGGACGTTGGATGAGTCACACTTCCCAGACGACATGCCAGTCACGACGGACCGCAAAGGATTGTTTCAGCTGCGTCCCACGTGTGAGTACTTAAGCGCGACTTGGGAGGAG